TTTCGCGTCGAACGACCATCGAGTCTTTCGTGATGAAATATGTCTGAAGGAGGGAAGTTCCTCTCGGGAGCGGAGAATGTCGCTTGGCAGTCGCACTAACTTGAAGGAGGCGTGCAGCTCCTGGCGAAGGGTCAACGGCCTGTTCTCCTGCGTTGGCGTGTTCTGCGGCGTACCAGGCCCACTTCCGGAACCTCTCTTCTTCAGCACGCTTTTCAGCGGCACCGCGTGAAACTTAGGCTCCTTCGCGGGGATCTCCTCGACCCTGGACGTGTCGATGCTCGGGTCAGGCTGCGACATCCTCGGCACGTACATGTTGTCCTCCTCCTCCACGTCGAAATCCTCTTCGTCCTCTGCGGTGAACAGAGAAAGGACGATTTTTTTAGAACGGCAGCAACGTTTCTTTGTATTATATACGGGGTGTCTCGTTTGTAACGAACGTCCAAATTATTTCTGCTGGTATTCCAAATGAAGGAAAAATGACTGAGAGGGAGTTTACGATAGTAAAGGATAATCCTTCAAACGTCATATTAAATGAAAGTCATTTCTAGGTCGTAGACATTCTTTTTATTACTGTGTAAGGTTATTGGAAGGTTACGATGTCGACTACACTGTCGCGTTATAAAATACAGATGTTAATATGCAAAAAAGATTGTATAATTTTGGAATGACCTGCAAGATAATCTTTTTTTCTTTTTTCTTTTTATCAAGGGTGGAAGAGAAGGAAGACGAAGTAAGAGCTTCCCTTGCAGATAAAGTTCGTTGGAATCGTTTTGAGTGAGTCTTTCAATCATTATAATCGACTCAAAAATATTATCTTTTTTTCGGAGATGGAATTCGTAAGTTACTCGATAAATGGAGAAAATTCAACATTGAAAATGTGAAAAAAATTAATTTTTTGTAAATAAACATCGAAGTTGGTGAGAAAATGGACCGACTTAATTTGTATATGTAATAAATACAATATGTACGTACCTTCGTCCTCGTAGTCGGACGCCAAAGGATTCCGAATTTGCCGTTGCTTAGCCAGTAACAAAGTAGGACTCGAGGAGCTGAACATCGGAGGAGGCGGAATTGGACCGATCTCGCTCAACGGAATCGGGGGTTCCGGAAGTTCCGACAGCATCAACGTGTTTTGAGGCGGGAGAGGGTAACACCTCTCTATTACCTGTTGATTTTCGCTGCTTTGGTCCAGGACCCCCTTCTCCACTGGAAAATAAACAAAAGGAATGTTCTGTTAGTATTTATTTTATTTTCATTTATTTGTTCAAATATTTGTTACTCCATGTATTTTTTATTATTAATATAGAAGTACCAGTGGTTATGGTATACAGATTTAAATTGGTGAAACGTGATCCAAGTTGAAGATTAATAAAGAATTACAATTGGACAGAGCCACATTGAGAGTCATTCTATCGCATATTCTATTAGATGGAATCCCAATATTCATGATTGAATTCGTATATTGAGTGGCCTACTTCTCTAGGATGGATCGGATGATATAGGACATTATGTGATATTAAAATGTTTGAGATTGTTCTTTTTATTATTTAAGATTTAATTCGTATGTGAATATTCAACGTATACTGGAATTATTATATTTTTCTTATATTGTGGAAATACACTGTAAACATTGTATTGTACACGAAAAAAAAAAAAAAAAATTTTGGGTATATTGAAATATCTATTCTTTTCTTGCAATAAAATTACAAAAATTAGCAGGCAATAACACCTAAATTAAATTAAATTTTGCATTTATTAAATTTACTTTATTTATGAAAACTGAAGTTCTAATTGGGCATTGTGGTACTAAAATTGGAAAAATTGAAGTTAATCGGTTCAAATTAATTGTAATAACAGCTACCAAATACTATAACCCAGCAAAGTTCCGCACTCCATTCATAAAATTACACAGCTCGTTCCAAGTAACAATCTATCAATAATTCCCAACCTTATTTACTGATCTGGCCAGACAAGCTATCCATCAAACAACCTAATCAACGATGACAATTTTGTTTCAATTGAAGCCACAGTTTTCCTTCCTCTTCAAATTATACCGACTGTCTTCAAATTAAGACTAACCCTAATCGTTCATTGCAATATTTTAGCATTCAGCATTTTCAGCAATTTTTCATAAGACAGTACTGTACCTGAAGTAGTTTGAACAATTAAATCCCTTTCATTTATTATGTAGCGTAAATAGCTCTCTATGGCTCTGATAAAGTAAAGAAAGAGTATTGTATACAGAGCAGTGTATATAATTCAATTTTGGAAAAAATAGAGTTAGGTTAGTCTGGCTCTAAGATACAGAAATATTAAAAGGTATGTACTCGTTACGCAGGGTCCGGCAGAATAATCTCTCAATTTTCGAAGGTAAATGATAAAGGTACCATAGGTATAGTCGGTGGAAGAAATATAGCGAGGTTGTAAATTAAAGCATTAAGTAGCTGCACCGATTGTTGCAGTACGTCTCAAAGTCGAATACGCCATTTCTCGTTTTTTGATTAAGACTGAATCCAAGCAAAGGCATACTTCATGCGCCCTTGACTTAGATTTCGAGTCCTTATCTTCTCAAGTTTCTGTCGATGTGCTTTAAGGTGCAAACTTTGACGCTTGACCGAATTTACGACTTTGCTATATTTCTTCCATCGACTATACCACTGCTGTCCAGTCACTGCCCGCACGGGCAACAAGCCACGCCTTCTCGGGCAACGTTGCGCGTATGTGTGTGTGTACACATGTAGTAACTATCGCCTGTTTCTAAGAAGAAGAATTATGTTTCGAATACAAGTAACACAAACGTCCTTCCCTCACTCTGCTTTAATGTATATGACATCACTAGCCCGCGATTTTGCCCTCAGCTCTGCCCGCGGGCATCGGCGGGCGCTCTTGCCCGCCTCGCGGTAATTAAAAAAAAAATTATCGTCAGAATTTCCTCAGCTCTTCAGCTTTCTTAAAGTTAAATCTGTGAACCTCAGCACAGCGATAAGACAGTGCTTAAAGGTTCTAACAGTATCTACAATGCCTTTTTCATTTACCTTCCAAAACCTGTATTACAAGATTCCAGATTAAATAATCTTTCTTTAAATCTTAATAATTTCGCGATGACTAGTTCAGTTTGCGTTATATTCAGTACGTGTCCTAATACTTGTACACGTCCATATACGCTTGTGAGTGCAGGTTCGAGCTATACAATTGGAATTCAACAAACCGAAGAGAGTGTCACAATCGTTGGACAGCGTTATTCATAGCCACTTCTCTAGCCGGTGGAGGAGGAAAGCGTGCCAATCCTTTCGGGAAATATGATTCATCGGGGAGCATAGATCCAATGGAAAGCTTGGCAAGCTTGTGCATTGCCCGTTCCCTCCATTCGTCGTAGTGACGAATTGCGAAATTCCGCCTCTACGAGTTTCTCTCCTCTGAATTCCCTCGCGACGTACATATTCTTCTCTCGTCTCTCCTTCCCCCTCCTCGTTTTTTATCCCATCTAGCTGTATCATTTGCGTCACGGTTCATTTGTCAGGCGAAATTCTCGCGTAAAGCGTAATAAATGAACGCAGCGTGGAACCACCGGATGACGTAAGGCTGCTGAGATTCTCGCTAAACTTGGAATTCCTTTCTCATCGTTGGATCGCGAATCGTCTTTGTTTTGCCTCCTTTTTCACGGTGGTTTCTTGCACGTCTCTCGGTAGGGTGGTGAGTCGAGATAAGGCATGTTTCAGATAATGGCTGTGAGTTAAGGATGATGGAACTGTTGCAAGCAGCATTTCTTTCTTTATATTTTTCATGTGCAGTTCCATGGAGCGAAAATGGTACTTTTAAGGTGGCATTCTTTTTTTTTTAGACGATTGAATTTCGGTGTAGATCATATTTTCACGACACTCTGCATTCTTCTATCTTAAATCATTCATCGATACAACGGAAGTTTAACACTAGAGGTGCCAGCTAGGTCGGAATGATCCATTTAGCAATTCTCTAAGAAAAGTGAATGAAAGTTTTCTGCATTTATACTTCTACTTGTCTCGATGTGAATCTAACTTCTTAATCACATTTTAAATTACGTTAAAATTCACTTTCCAAAAGTTGCTGATATGTCATTTTTGACCCGGCTAGTCTTTCTAGCGTTAAAAGCCTGAGTTTCTGTATTATTAGTTTGGACTTCGTATCGTGCAAACCTTTTTCAACGACAATTCTCCATTTCACTCGTAAATTTATCGTAATTCAGTGTTTCATTGGCTCACATAAGAAAATTCGAAATACATAATTCGCCAGAAATTTTCCCTCTCCCTTCATCTGTAAGAGACCTGTTTATTGTTACAAAAACAACATGATCCTTCATAATCATGATTTTAACAATTCGTTCTAATTTCGCAATTAGTTACTTCTGTACCAATTGAAAGTGTACGTACACTTTTCGCGTTTTCTAAAAAGAAACCAGAAGTAACCACAAGAAAATTGAAGAAAACTTCCGCGACCCTGAACACACATTATACAATTCCTAACGAAAGCCGTGATAGCTGTGTTACATTTACACGAATTTTCGCCCGAGAATCCAATTACATGGCCCGGCAGCTACGATCGACTTAAAAGAAACTTAATTAAAAGCCAGTCTAGCGATACGTTTGTACTAATTCCCACTTGTACACCGTTGGGGTTGGTTTATCCACGAGGAAGATCCTCAGAGCTGGTCAACTTCTAACGTCGCTCGATTCCCAGGAAAAAGCAGGTGTTTCGCGAAGTGACTGCGCGTCGAGCAACTTTCATTAAGACTTTATTAAAAAACTTTTCTTTTTCGCCCCACTGTGGTCACGCCGGAGAAAATTTCTCGAGGCTCGTTAAAAAAAAAAAGAAAAAAAGAAGCGGTTATTTAAAATGTAAAACGGGTACACGCTCGAATTTCTACGTTCCACACGCTCGTTACACCGTTTAATCCGTACATCAGCGTCGCGTCGATGTAAATTTTCCCTCGGTTTTACAACAACGTTCGCGTAAGAAAGCCCAGCTTTGCGCGAAGTCGGCAAAATGGGTCGCAAATTTCAACGTGGCCGTGTTTGCGGCAAAAGTGTCGAATAACTTCGAGCAACCGACGACCACGCGCTAGCGTTTGAATTTTCGGCTGGGAGAACTTCGAGAATAGTTCCGGGAATTCCCCGTAATTTTCTACTCGCCAGAGAACATCCCCACGTGATAATCACCGATATTAATGTATATGGTATAAGCACTGGGAAAAATATTTGACATGTATCTTTTTCGTTGGAAATGCTCCACGTTGAAGGTGTGAAAATCGCCATAAAAAATGAGGGTAGTATAGATATTCGGTGAAAATTATTTATCACTTAAAAATTATTCAAACTTTTTATTGAGAAATAGAAAATTCGTCAACTTACGTTATTCCTCTATCTCTAATAATTTCCAGGACATTAGACTAAACGTGTTTGCTACCCACAACTTTGAGGGCGATTTTCACCCGTAAAAAAGTACGCGTGGAATATTTTCCTGAGAATTACCATACACCAAAGTTTCATAAACATCGGCGATTATTAGTTCGGAATGCTCCCTTGTTCGAAGCGTTTCTCGAAATTGAGAGTGCGAGAGTAATTTATTGGTCAAGGTTGCGTGTCGATCGTTCAGAACGAAGGATGTGTAAATGAAAATTTATGTTCCTGGGAATGGAGGTTAGAAGTATAAATTCTTTTCTGAATTTATTAGATACCGGTGTGGCTGAAGCTTGTGACTCCGAGAGATTTCTTTTGGGAGTTTAATTCGGAATTTTAAGAGCGAATATTTGGAGGGTGACGTGTCTTGGATCTGGTTCAAGTTTGGTGCGGAAAATTGAAAATTGAAACGAGAGAAAAAGGTTAGCATTGACTTAACGATTTTAGATTTATTGTCATTTGGTTTTGCTTGAATTATATGTAATACAATGTGTCTAATTGCAGGAGTAAGAAATTATCTCTTTGGTATTAGGCGATTTCTGAATATCTGAGTTTCTAAATTTTTGGAAGTTCTGAAATTCTGAAGATTTAGAATTTCTGAAAATTTGAGTTTCTAAATTTTTGGAGATTCTGAAAGTCTGAAGATCCCGATTGTATTTACAAATTTCTGCGGTATTGAATACCTGAAATTCCCTATTTGTCAATTTCTAAACGTTTAAATTTCAAAATTGTTAAATTTCTCAAAGTTTTGAAATTCTCAAGGCCAAAAATCTTCTCTTTAATACAATGGGAGTACAATTAATTTGTGTCCCTTCATTTTTCAATTTTTTATAATATAACTTCCACCACAGGCGTGAGAAATTATCTACTATTCTTGCTTAATTCTCAAAATTCTCATCTTCAGTTTAACTTGTACAATATGTACACCATACACAAATGACACAATACCTGTTTCTCAAAATTCTCCAAACGTCATCAAAATTCACAAGACTAACGCAAGGGTTAAAGGACTCTATTTGCAGTTAGATGTTTATCGTCGGAATTCTCCGAAGAAAGGATTAAAGGGCAGAGCAAGATAGCCTCGAAATGCAAGGCCGTGGTAGCAACGAGAACCTGTTATCCGACTTATTTCTAAAGGGTTGTCTTTTACGTGTCACGAATTTCTGCTGGACTTTCGACTAAACGCTCTTGACAAGGGTGGCCGCTGCCTTGGGTGCTTGTTGGCGTTCGTAAGGCGATGAGAAGATAGTTTCAGCCCCAAGTTTGGAGCTTGTTAGTGGTGTCAGGTTATTAAGAATTTCTGATCGAGATTCTCGGTGACTTAGTTTGCAATAGCGGCAAGTTTTTAAGGTAATTGCACCATTTTCAGCGAATTAGGCGAGAAAAGTTGGAATATAACGATATTTTTGATGGGAGACCTAAGAGACGTATGCAGGATTAACCAAAGTTTTTTCAGAAAATCAAGCTTCCTTATTCTTTATCTCAAAAATGTTTATATACACTCCAAGAACTCGATTTTTATATAATAAAATAATTAAAAATAAACGCGACTACATAAAGAAAAAACAGAAATATGTGCGATAGAATTTAATAAAGGAACGAAGATTCGAGCGATGAAAGATCCACTAATTCGAATACGAACGAGGAGATTAAAGGACGTTATTCATTAAAAACAAGCATAAACCTCGGTGAAATTTAGCAGCTCGTCCGTTAAGGATCTCCCATAAAAAAAGGAGATATACGAATTGACGTTTCCTCTCAAATGCCCGCAAGAAAAAAAAAAAAAGAAAAATTAAATATTCAACGGGACATGATGCTCGAAGCTCTTTTTATCGGGTCGTGAAACGAGGGAATTTCGCGTCCCGAATGGAAAGTTGGTATAACGACGAGGGATGGCGCGGGAAAGAGGATAAAATGTTTTCCTTACGTTTGCCTTTAAAATCCGCGGGGAAACGTTTCTCGAGATCGTGTTTCTTGATAGGCGGTCTGTGTGTGTACCGGAGAGGAGATTCTGTGTCGGGAAGTAAATTCGACAGTGGTGAAACGGGGACGGAGGGAGGAGGGACAAGTCGAAGATAAAAGTGAACTTTGAAGTTTCGAAGGTAAACGAGAGTTTTAAAGGCGATTTGCGCGGCGGAAGCTCCAGGCGCATGAAAGTTTATCGTTTCGCCGCCAGCTTCTTCGGGGAAATTCGACGTCGAGTCGATGCAAAACTTCCGCGTCCGCTTAAAAATCTACGCGACGCTTCCCTTTATACTTATTCCTTCACTTAGCGAAAACTTCGACACCTATTCCACTCTCATCGATACACCGTAATTTTATTATTCATTCTCGACATTTGCGTCGGAGGAACTTTCCTTCGTGAAATAGTGAAAGTTCGTTCAATTTTAACTATTTCGCGAGGAATAAATTTACGCGAATGCATCGACGACATTGTTGCGACACTTGTTCATTTTCATTTTGTAGAAGAGATTTTTGAAAACGAAGGAGACTGAAGATTTAATTATCCTTTTGTTATTAATTTTGACATTTGTGACGAAGAAACTTTCTTACGTATTTGCTAAAGTTCGTTCAATTTTAATTAATACTTGTCAGGATAACTGTTCATTTTTACTTCGTGGGGAAGATCTTCTTTAAATACGAAGAAAATTGAAGATTTAGTTTACCCATTGATAAATTATAATTTTATTATTAATCGTGATATCTGCATGGCAGAAAACTTTCCAGTTATTCTGGAAAATTATTTAATTTTCATTTGTATTGTTCCTATTTTGAATATTTTTATTATTAATTGTGAAATTTGCATGGAATAAAATTTTCCACATTATTCCAAAAGTTTATTCAAGTTCCGATTTGCGTTTCTCATATTTGCAAACATTTCTGCAACATTTCTCCAGTTTTAATAGGTAAAATAATTTTGTCTTTATATAAAAAAAAAAAAGGTTAACGAAAAAATCTCTGTTTTATTTAAAAGTTTGCACAATCTGAATAATTTGTCTCTCAAACAACCGTTAAAGCTGTGCAAACGCAAAAAATTTACAAGCTGCTACACTCCTCTCTGGTGTTTGCCATGCAACGTGTCTGATCATAAACGCGCCACTTCTACTTGCGCTGTGCCCCCTACTCCCCCATTTCCATGCTTTACTATGTAGCTTTATCTCGCGTTTACGCAAATTCATGCTCGTGTATTATCCAAAGTTTGCACGCGTATTGTTTCAAATCGGCGCAAACGAGCACAGTTGTTTGTTCAACGTCAAATTTTTCAAGTAGTTTCATTTAAGACTCTTTCGAGCTTCCTCGCTGTAACACCTTTAAATTAATTTCCCTAAAAAGTTATACCAGCAACAGAGACGTTCTCTATATTTCCATGCATACACCTTGGTACTAAGTACGATAATAATAAAAAAAGAAGAAATTCCAGATGAAAAATAGTTCAGACTTAAACCCCAAAATTTCAATGCGACGATTAATTTTCCCACGCCCACGAAGCTTATCAATCCAACGTCGTACGTTCATAAAGAATTCTGTCCGAGAGATAAAAGGAAACAGTAGAGAATTAAACGGAAAAAATTAAAAGTCCAGAGAAAAATTACAGTTTCTTTCAAGTTTTATTGCAAGTATAACGTTTAATATTCTACGTACACGCGGTCGAAATGAAGCAAAGAAACGTATTACCGGTAAATTACACGGAAATAATTCTCCCTCGAGAATTCATTATTACTTTCATTCGCCAAAGACTTTTTCTTTTTTTAAGGGGACATAACGAACATCGTAAACGAACAAGGCAACGATTTTCGATCGAGCCACGTCGATACGAGGCCTCGTCGTTGGAATTTAATAGCTCGCCGTAAAAAAGGGTAACAAGGATCGCGATATTAAATTGGCTGAAAGTTTCCTGATAATAGTAAAATCGCGATTTTGCCGCCGGTGTAATATCGATACGACGCGGTCGTTCCATATAACGTTCGCTTATTCGTCCCTCGACCATTCAACTCTCTTCTTTTCCCTCCTTTTTCCCCCCTGCTTCTTCTTTTTCCTAGCAAATTATTATCTCAATCGTGGCACGAACAACGTGTTCTGGAAAACCAGTAATCATGGAGAAAGTGAGTGTACCCGTTTTCTGTTACCTTTCGAGAAGTAGTTTTTTCGTCGATAAATTGTAGTCGATTGAATCGCGCGGATAAAATGGAGATAACTGAGAGACGAGTGAGTACGTGTATTTTAATCGTAGAAAACGAACACGGGGAATACAGCGACCTAATGGATTTTTAGGACTAGTAAACTGTACTTTGCTTTTAATATACTTTGCTCTTTATATTTTTATTTTAAAAATATCGCGTTGTTCGGTCCCGAGCACCGGCGACGCAGGACCGGCAGGACGAGTGCGTAGCCGAGCCGAATGGCATCAGCGGAGCCGTGTTACAATGTCGCAATAAGGCCTTCGACAAAGGGATCCCGCGAGGAACCGAAGCGGGACCGCGGTTGCTTAGGCGAGAGGACTCGAGTGTTTCCTCGCTTGAGGGGACTCGCGTTGGGTCCTGTGTCGCATGGGCCGCCAAAAGCGATGATCGCTCGACGTCTTCCGTATCGCGTCGCACTTACCACCACCACGTCGGGTGTGGACGGTTCCGTGCTATAAAGCACGGAGGTTTTCACCCTCGAAACGCATTCTATTGAGAGCACGCCTAAGAAACACAATAATTGTTTTAGTTCGAAAACGTGTTGATTTCTTTCCCCAAAATAAGACTCGCCCTGCCGCGAGTCAGCGTTTCCAAGCATCGAAGAGCTACGGCATTTTGGGACGCTACACGCTTAATTTTTCATCTTAAGGCAGCGGTTTCCAACCTTTATGCTACTACGCCTCCCCACCTTTTATTTTTTAATAGATGTAATGATATAGACGCGTTTTAATTTTTTATTAAAAAATTTTGGCGCCTCCCCAGGCAATAGTCCGCGTCTCCCAGGTTGGAGACCGCATAATTTGTATGTTAGAAAAAAATTGAAATAGAAATATTATTTTTACTACATGAAAAGAAATATGAAATAAATTTAAGGAAAATAGAAATATTACTTGTGCTATATAATGCAACGTATATTTCAACACACTTTAATATAGTGCCCTAATGAAAACTGTAAGCTTTTTTTACATACTTTTCTCTTGAAAAATGTCACTTACTTTCAAACATAGAATAATCAATTTTCATAATTTCAATGTTGATAAAGTTAATAAAAAAAGAAAATAGAAAGAATGAGCATTTCAACCATAGATCAGGAACAAGAGAAACACAATGCCCCAAGGGATCTTTATGACTACTAAACTACAAGTTTTTTCACATATATTCTCACTTTAAAAATTTCATCTAGTTCTGAACTTAAGATAAAAAATTTTTTACAATCTTAATCATAATAAAGGTATTAAGAACGAAGCAGAAATATTATTTTCACTACATGGTGTACACTACTGCGTCCAACGTTAAGATAAACGTCAGAAAAAATTAAATGTTAGTGCTGCAGGATTAAAGGAAAATTGAAAAATATTTCTCTCTTTTTCCCGCTCCTTTTATTTTTTATTAATTATTCCTCTTCGTTTTTACGGCGTATTGTCCTTTATTTTCGGTATTTGCGCTTTTATCCAGGTCAACCTCTCAGTTTGTAGAACTTGCTCGCGATACAGCACTTCTTCCTGTTAACGAGCTGTCGTAACTCGCAGTATTATTAGAATCATCTTGTTTTATGTCCCGCGAGACACCAGACACGCGCGATTGCGCGCCCGATTTTCTTAAGTTCCTCCGCCCCGTCGCCGAGTGATTACGTAATGGAGAACGTTTCGAAAAGTTTCTTTGGCGGTTTTATCCAAGATGAATGAAAAAAAAAAAATAGACATATAAACGCGAGCCAGTACCGTGCGTTAAATAAACAAGGTAACCTTTTGGAAACTGTGTTATTCAGGCGTATTGTAAATGATAAATGAGTGTAATGCAGTTGCAGTTGGATAATATATCGTGTAATTGAATATTGAATAAAGTATAAGAATTAATTTCTTAGTAGGAGTTTCGAAAATAGTCTTTTAAAATGTGTGAAATTCTGTTTTGCTACTTTAAACGATTTAATCCTTTTAATTTACATCTGAAACAGTCGTTTATAAAATACATAGTTAAATTATTCTTTACTATTAAAAATGTGAAGTATTCAATGCAACAATTTTTTGAATAAATTTTCCTTGACGTAGTAAGCATTTTTTACAATCACCTACAAAATACCTTCAAATATTTCCCTTATTATTATTATCTTGTGTGCACCATCATTTTTCAAATATCCTAATTTAAATGTGGGTATTAAACATATCAGTTTAAAGCTTCCCTGTCCAGTTTCTTCTTTTTCAGTTCAAAAGCTTCCTGTAATCCAGCAATTTTAACTATCACCACATAAACACTTCCAAATGCTTCCATAAATACACCACCACCTTAGAAATATCCTAATTTAATTGTAAGAATTAAATGACCAATTATTTTTTTTCTATTTTAGTTTAAAAGTTTCCTGCAATTCAAATTTTCCAACACTTGCCTCCTAAATACCTTCAAATGCTTCCATAAATACACCACCACCTTAGAAATACCTTAATTTAATTGTAAGAATTAGATGACCAATTATTTTTTTTCTATTTCAGTTTAAAAGTTTCCTGCAATTCAAATTTTCCAACACTTGCCTCCTAAATACCTTCAAATGCTTCCATAAATACACCACCACCTTAGAAATATCCTAATTTAATTTAATTCTTTTTCTATTTTAGTTTAAAAGTTTCCTGCAATTCAAATTTTCCAACACTTGCCTCCTAAATACCTTCAAATGCTTCCATAAACATACCATCACCTTCGAAATATTCCAATTTAATTTGTAAGAATTAAACGAACCAGTTTTTCCTCTATTTTCTTTTTTCTTAGTATAAAAGTTTCCTGCAATTCAAATTTTTTAACAATCATCTCCTAAATACCTTCAAATGCTTCCATAAATACACCACCACCTTACAAATATCCTAATTTAATTTAATTCTTCTTCTATTTTAGTTTAAAAGTTTCCTAGGATAGGCAGATTATCAGCAATAAATGCTAGGGTATCGAAAGAACATCGAAAAGGGCCGCGATTTCGCGGGAAGCGGAGGTACTCACTGTCGAACAAGATCAGTCTCCTGGCTACCACCCTGGATTCCAGGGTGTTCGGCCTACTCGGCTTTTGCTGGTCCCCAGAATTCGGGGGTGCCGCCGAGATCGGCAGGCTACCGGTCGTAGCCGTGCCCTGATTCGCTTGCGGATCACCGCTCGGCGATACCGCGCCATTTGCACTCTGTTCAGTCTTTTCCTTCTTCGGCTCTGCAACAGAAAAAAAAAATGCCAGACCGTCAGAGCGGGGCCGAGAGACAACGATCGAGGGATCGCGCGAGCGGTTTACCGGAATTTATTCGCGAATTTCATTGACTTTCGTGGAGTTTCAGCATTTTTAAGAGTCTGAAGTTTTTGAATTTCCTGGAGCTGTGTGGAGTGATTCGGAATTTCTGAGTCTCTGTGTTTCCGAGCTATGGAATTTCTGATGGTCCTGAATATCTGCAAAATTGTATTTACACATTTCTGAAATTCTCGTGTGTTTGAGAATTTATAAATCTCTAAACTTGTGAATTTCGAAATTTTCAAATTCTGAAGGTCCTGAATCTCTGAAAAGTTGTATTTATAAACTTCCGAAGCTCTGTATTTTCGAATTTCTAAATCTCTGAGCTTCTAAATCTTTCAATTCCTAAATTTCTAAAATTTTCGAAATTCTGAAGATCCTAAACTTCTGAAAGTTTGCATATATAAATTTTGAATTTCTGAAGCCCTGTATTTTTGCAGTTCTAAATTTTCGACGAATCCCTAGCTTCCACTTTCCTAAATATTCGGTGGATCTTTAATTTCTTAGTCTTTCTATGCTTCGAATGCTTCCGATATTCCCTTTAAGTGTAATTTTACATGTGCATTAAGTATTCAGTAAATGTATACACTGCTTCCTTTTTTATTTCCTTATTAAAACATTCCCTCTTGGGACGCAGTATTTCCACAACAAAAAGCCTGCATTTTTAATGTTTAAACCCGAGTGTGGGATCAAGTGCACAGAAGTTTGAAGTGTAGAAACTGTTGGACATAGTTTCAGCGTAGGATGTCCTATCGCAACTTTTTAAACTGAAGAAAATGCTTCTGCATACATGACACTTAAAAAAAATGTCCATATTAAAAAAAGAAATAAAAATCCTCTCTCCACAAAAACAATTCACAAAAAAATCACCCAAACTATAAGTACACATTTAATACATCAGAGTAATAAATTCTAATATTATCCAAAACCTTTCAACTTACTTATCGAAACCTATAAATATTATTAAAAAAAAAAAAAATTCAAATTCATACTCCACAAAATAAAATCAGAAAAATCTATCTGAACATTCTTCTCCCCCTCAAAAAAAAAATTCTTCAAAGTGTCAATGTCTATTCCAAAACACAATATACAAGTGAAATAAAAATCGTCATATTGTCCTTTCGCTTTGACGCGTCTGACAAAAGGAAACAACTCTTTTTACCGCGGAAAAGGAAGCGAGCGAGGGAACGGGTCGCATTAAATCGTCGAAACTCCGGGGCGATTTCGCTTCCTGGCGTCGTTCCTCTTCATTATTTCGTTCGTTCCTCGTTTTACTGCGTTTCCACGAGTCACGTTCGGCTAACTTGGAAAATATCGCCGCGAGTGCACCTCGAAATTGCGATTTCCCCCTTCCCACAGGCGCAACACCGGGATAATAAGCTGCCGCGTTTAGGATTCTCGCGTAAACCATGCTTTACCCGCGTGTTCGCAGCTATAACAAAGCTTTACGGGCGAAAAAAAAAGAAATTCGCAACGGGACACGTTTATCCGAATTAGGCCATATCTGCTACAGTGTTTTGATAAAATGTAAATGATAAAATGTCTCTCTCTCTCTCTCTCTGTTATTTTTACGGTCAAAAAGACGAATTTTTTGCGGGACGTGCTTTTTTCGTCTACCAGCGAAGATACGGAAATTTCTATTGGAATAATAAATTATGAACGACGAGATTGATGTATGGTAATTTATTCGCGACTAACGAATCGGTTTTTGCGCGAATAAAAATTCACAGTTGATCGAAGCCTTGGCTTGTTTGAAGTAATTCGTTCGATGAATTGATCAAGTTCCACTGGTTTTCGATTTTTTATTAGTTCCACTGTTCATTTATATATGTGGTTTTTATTTATTGTTTTTTTTTTTGGGACACGTGGTTAGTTGTGAATTTATTCAAATAATTTTCTAAGATAAGAAAATTGATAAGTTAAATCTGTGGAATGTCTAGATTATTTTTTTGAAATCTTCTTTCGCTTAATTACCTTCGATAGATTTGTTTTTCTTCTCTTAGTTTTATGGTAGGGATTATTTAGAAATAATTAGTCGGAAGAGACAATTTTAAAATTCATTCTTTTGAAAGCCTAAACTGTCTCTTATTACCTAAATTAGGTATAAATTTATTCAAATGACTGAAAGCGCAAATTATCTCTTTAATCTTCTATCTCAAAATTTTCTTTAAATCCAAATTGTTAAACATGTTGCAAAAAATGAAAGTACTCAAATTTTAAGATTAAAAAATTCAATCTTCTAAAATTTAAATTATCTCTTGTTGTCTTTAATCCATCATATAAATTCAGCATTCAAACTCTCAAACTTATTGCTAAAAATAAAACTATTCAAACTTCGTATTTTCCATTTCATCAAAATTCCCATCACAATTTACGTTTTTCTGTTTCACAGAAGACATGGAAGAAGACCCAACATCCCTTAAAAAAAAAATTCATTGAAATCATTTTTGATCAATCCAAAATCAGAAATTTCCTATTTAAATATCAAATATCCTTTAATCCTTGTACGAAATTTGTGAAGTTGCAGGAGAAATATAATTAGTTTCCATAAAAAAACAAAATCGCACAAATCTTGTTCCCTTTGGTAAACATTATTAATTTTCCATTCAGCCGAAATTAAATAAAATTTCATTCCTAACGATGCACTTGATAACAAAGGAAAAATAATTTGTGACTCGATTTTGGCTCAAATTTACCCAATTTCCATACAAGGGTTAAAGAACGAAGATATACACTCCAATAATTCTTCGTTCTCCGTTCATCTAAAATTTGAAACTTCTAATCTAAACGCTTCTCCACATAAACATCGAAGTCCCAACACGAAAATGACCATTTCAAGCAAAGCTAACCACGCTCCAAGAATATAAAACGAGAAGTATTTACGGTCGTAAACAAAGGATTGGTCGCGAGATAGAAATAAATTGCGGAGGATTGCCAGATGCTGGTCCGGATCGTTGACCAGTCGTTTCACGTCACGAATCCTCCCGCTCTGTACTTGTCATCGTTCCGCGTGAAAATCGCGAAACGTCGACGTGGACCGAACACGTCATCGGTGACTAAACTCGCTTTTTTTTCGAGCCACAGATCTGTGGTGTGTAACGTAGAGTAAACAAATCTCGTTCCCTCGAAACGTTTGATCTGCGAAAGACGTCCACGAGAAACGGAACGATTTCAGAAACGAAACGGTATTTTTATGGAATTCTCGGAGCAATTTGAGAGTTACGGTGTTCGATCAATTTTATTAACGTCGAGCAGAAAATTCGTCGGGAAACTTTGTGAAAGCAGAAAGTGAAAATTGCTTAAAGAAAATTTGTGAATTTTCAGGGAAAGCAATTGAAGAAATAATAGCGAATTTTTGGGAGAAATAAAATTGTATTAATTACGAAGTAGTTTAAATAAAATGCAAAAAATTGACTTACATTGGGATTGTAAAATGAAAGCATTAATTTTAGAAAAAAAAAAAAGAAGGGTTCACATTGATGTACCGAATTGTTCGATCACAGCAGACGGATATTTCAAAGAGTGAAATTATCGAAAATACTGTGACGAGAAATTAACATCGAAATAAATCGAACTTTATTTTAATCCACGATGGACAGTATTTGCGCCGATGATTGAAATTTCTCGCATAATTGTTACCGAGTTATTCCGAAATCGCAACTAATGGATCGTTAAACGATTACTCGTTCACAGAAGCAAACTAATTAGCTGTTTTTCACTAAACGTATTGTTATAATTAGACTGCTGATTTTTATGCATTTATAGGAAATTTGAAGGTACAAAATTGCACAGAATGCACGTAATATGAAAAAATATACAAATTACAGTGCTTTTTATAATCACTGGTAGGTGAAATAATTTTTTACCAAAGTTCTACTTTCTTTGCTATATTCTCAAAAATATATAAATTTGCATAAAAATCCGCAGCCTAGTTACAATAGACATCGACGTTTAATTCAATTCGTCGCTAAACAGTGACATTCGATTTCAACAATTTTTAATCAGAAGAAGATCTACCGAAAAGAACCTTTGTCAAAAAGTACTTGGAACTAAAATTATCAATCAAAAAGTTCCCTTAATCAAAACCAGACGCAGATGTTCGCTCTCTCGCCTCTTCACTCCAATTCTCAGGTTGGCGAGCCTTTAATGTGACGAATCGACCGCCTAAATTACCGACAACCATCCCCAATTCTGCCACCCTTCAATTTTACCTTTCCAACGGACCGATCAACCCGTCGAGCTAATTCAAAATGACGATCGAACGTTACAACACACTTGACAACTCGACGTAATCCAACCTCTATACTACTTAGACGCTCTACATCCTCATAAATCATGGTACATATCCTCGCAGTAAGACACCGATTATCCGGATTTCAGACTTACCGGACTTTCGATTATGCGAACATTAATTTCGCGATTATCACCGAGCTTTACCGGTTATCTCGACACGTCGACGGGAACTTCTGTCGATCGATGATCGCTCGAATTTCTGCGTTGATTAATTTTAACCCTTATGTCAATAACCGGGTACACTCTTTTGCGTAATTCTCACTTGAAGTATTTCATCTTCCAGGTAAAAGATTGAAATATCCGGCCAGGTCGTTGTTATTTCGCACATTTCCTATCCGTGCTTGCCTCAAGTTTAGAATTTCCTTATCAGGAAACTGCTAAAACTGGACGATAAAGTAGACGACAGTTGTGGTTATCGACATAAGGGTTAAACGAAATTTTTCACATTGCATAAAATTGTCTTGTTTTTCTCCCTCGCTCGAGATAAAGTTAAGACAATGAAATATTTCGTACGTTGAGTTTCTGCGTTAATTAACTGAAACTCCTTGTGTCACATAATTATTTCATTTAACCCTTTCACGCTCGAGAAAGAAAGCCCTGGTTCTGTGCACTGAAAATCACCGAGGCGTCACAG